GCCTGTTTGAGGTGATTCCCCTTCGAGAGAACCTGCTTTAAACACGTTTGGAGTCACCTACCATTACTATCAGCACCGACGTTCCTACTCCGTACTGTAGTTTCTACAAAAACTTCAGCGCAAGAGTTTTTTCGGGGGTCGACATTGTTCGTGAGGCATTCCCCTACTGTCTGGTGGCTTTTGCTTGGTTTTTGCTTGACAATTATCTGATTCTCCACTGCCTGTCCTACATCCACAACAACATGCTCCAAACACTTCAATTACTTCAAGCACCTTGTTGTGGTATACATGCAAAGTGAACTCTGAGGACAACCATGGAAAACTAACCGAAAATGTGATTTGCTTGTTGGAAACATTGAAACGGGAATGCTCAGGTAGTATGTAAATATTCTTCCATTGTAGCGGCATCGAGGCACCTTCATTAACCTGAAGGATACGAACATTCATCAAAGTTTTGGATAGAAATCGAAGTGATCCGCTGTAATCCTGCCAAAGCCCTTACCTCCAATGGTTCTGCTACATAAATCGGTTGCAAAGTCGATATGGGAACAGAACGTGTTGAACTGTCTGTCTTTCCATTTCTGAATGTAGTTTATTCAGTTCGATGTGAAAGAAGGCAAGGCAACAGCGAGCAAGCCAAACAGAAAGGAGCTCACTGGCGACCCACACGGAGACTCCTGACCGTCTCTTTGAGTCAGTTATAGCCACGGCCTCTGGCTTTTGGCCGAGTGACCTCGATGGGAACACTTGTCACGCACATTTAGCTTCATATTATCGATAAAGTCAATAGATAGAAGAGTCTTTCAAAAAAAAAATAGATGAATAGATTGAAATTGACCAGTCCTTTTAAGCGTTTATTCCTCTTTTTTCGGACTCTCAATGCGTACAATAACTCCTCATGAAGCTACTTCTACTTCTATCTCAAGAATATCTCTTCAAAGAGTCTCCATTTTAAAGTTTTAATAAGAAATAGTTTGTGTTTTGGTCTCATATGCCTTGAACTTCATAGATCGCTCAGCGATGCCATTAATCAGCCGATAATCGGCCATCATAAACGCCGCTGAAGAAATGACCAGGCTGGCGAGTTTTCATAAGAAAACTCAGGAATGGTCGCTACCGTGGGAATGTCCCTCTTACCCATTATTTTATGCCCGTTCAAAGTACAACACGCTATGGGAAAACAGCACAAGTTTGATCTCGTTCGGCTAGTGAGATAGGTGGGGTAAAGGTAGAGGATCATTAGATCAATAGAACTTTCAAACTACAGAGGGAGGATGACTGGTAATGGAGCTGGTAGTGGGAATTGAAAGGTTGATTCGAGTACTATAACCCATCTGTAGATGTGGGCGGAGGTGGTGTAGTGGCAAGTGGCCCACGCATGATCCAAGGTTCTGTCCAAGATCGATGCTAGACCAGGCAAGCCTTCCTTACCTCAGAAGCCTGATGTGATGTGCGGCCCAGGTCAATTGATGCCAGACTCGTATGGTAGGATAAAACTAGTAAGGGACCTGCACGGGTGGCCATCTCAAGTCAATGTATAGGCAACATACGCATTCAAAACTGAAAGGGAGTAGAATGCGGCCCCACGTCCCGAAACGGGCCAACTAATGCCAAAGAGTTCAGATTTAATTCGTAATTGTGAGCTTTTTTGAGCGACCCTCAACCCTAGGGAACACAACGGTGGGCAAGTGCATAGCGCACTTCAGAGCTGGTAACAAGCGCATGCAAGATTCTCCCGTTGGCATCGTGTGAGTTATGGGCAATTTTTATTCTGGGCCCCAACCTATCAACTTTGACCCCATTTACTTCGATTTGCTATGAACCTCTATGACAGTTCATACTCCCGTAGGAGCCTTCAAAAAAAGCTCTGGGAGAAGGAAAGAGACTGCAAAGAAGGGAGGAAAAAGCGGAATCTTGACTTATAGTCAGAACGACTTGGTTGTTCATCAAAAGATGCAAGAATTCTTGTTTATTGTATTTTTAATATTAAAATTTTTCTTTGATAATTCAACATCCATTCCCGCTCGCCATTCCAAGCTGCCTAATGGTCGAGGCTGAGGTGCGGGAACTCCACAGCAAGACAAACATCTGGAGTTAAACTGCACTTTATACTAGGCCAAATGCTTTTCGGGCTTTTTGGTGAATAAACTGTCTCAGCTGATCCATTGTGTAGACATCATGTCTATTCTCACAATGTCAAACTAAAAAGCCAAGTACAGCTACACAACTTCAGCTTTGTGTTATGGGCCATATCATAAAATGATATAGGGGGATGCTCAATCAAAGCGATGGTCTTTTTTTTTATTCCCGTTGTCAGAAAACTTTTGCCTCGTTTTTTGTACTACACTGCCTTAACTGCATGCTACGACATGCCAAAGAATTATAAACGATAAAGAAGGTAAGGCTTCGGGCATCGGTAGACCTAGGATACGCACGTGTATATTGTTTGGTCCAGAATCTTTAGCTCCGACTGACTGAGAATTGTGCTTTACAATCATTTGTTTGGGCAGGTTTATGTACAAGTTATTTTCCCAGGCAGGTCTCCTGCAGATTACCCGATTCTGAAAAGGAGAAGACTTCAAATAGCCTAGAAGATCATCTGCCCAAGAACCGTTCTCTAACACTGCGATTGTTCAACCATAATGAACGCATGGGTTCTGGGTTACAGGCTCTATCGTATACCATGCGAAACCGACAAGAAGAAGAAGATCGAGGCCAACCGCCTGACTGTACAACTCAAAACGCAATGGGATAACAATTTCTATAAGGATGGAACGATGCTGCTCCAGAGGCTTTTCTGAGGGATCCTTCAGTTCCAACAAATTGAGAAGGCTGCTTGTCATCAGTTGCCACACGTCTCTTGCCACGAAATGACCAATAAAACACCAGTGTGATACGATAACGAGCTACAGGTGTTGAACGTCGTGTGTCAAAAGTGTGCCGCAATCTGGCCCCGAGCCAATAAAACTCCCTTACATAAATTTCTGCACCTAAGGAAAATCTCTGTCCATAGTAATGAAGTCGGATCATCATTTTTGCAGAGAAAATAAGCGAGGGCAAAATATAACCACTACTGGTAACTATTGATTGAAGATATCGATTTATTTCGAGTAACAAAGCAAAAGAGAACAAATGGCAAGGCGCCACCCCTT